GATCTAGGTCCTAGAAGGAGACTGCCACATACTGATGAGTTGGTGTGGGCAGAGATGAGTAAGCTATAAATATTGCTGCTAAAATTCTTTAGAGTAAAAGCATTTCTTGTTCAAGAAATAACTATTGTATTATATTTGAGCATCTTGATATTTTGCTGTATTTTATATTTCCTCATCTTTTTAGTGAAACCAGATTAGAAGCTCCTAAAAAGCACACTGCCGAATGGATACAACAAAGTAGCACGAGTGCCCAGCTGTTTGTATGAATCAGATTCCCCTCCTCATTTGGTGTCTTTCCTCTCCTCATTTGGTGTTTAGCAAAGGTAAGTCAAAAGAGCTGTTACTCTTATAACCAATACACACAACTCCACAAGGTACCTGGCTACAGCAGTGGCTCTCAACCTTTCCAGAACACTGTACCCCTTTCAGGAGTCTGATTTGTCTTGAGTACCCCCAAGATTCACCTCACTTAAAAACTAATTGCCTACAAAATCAGAAATAAAAATACAAAATAAAAATACAAAAGTGTCACACCACACTATTACTGAAAAATTGCTTACTTTTTCATTTTAACCTTATAAATCCATTGGAATATAAATATTGTACTTACATTTTAGTGTATAGTGTATATAGAGCAACATAAACAAGTCATTGTCTGTGTGAAATTTTAGTTTGTGCTAACTTTGACAGTGCTTTTTAAGTAGCCTGTTGTAAAACTAGGCAAATAACTAGATGAGTTGATGTACCTCCTGGAAGACCTCTACGTACCCCTGGTTGAGAACCACTGGGCTAGAGGAGCCAAAGAATGCATTATCGCAGCCATTGATCTTCTCTCCATAGATCTAGCAATGTGGGGGAGATCCTCAACTTGGGTAAATTGTCATTGTTCTGTTGACTTCAGTGGAGCCTGACAATTTATAGCAGCTGAGATCTGCCTCTAAGTTTGAGTGACCTATGAACTTTAATGCTATCACAAGAACACTTGATTTAAACAAATGCTGCCCCAGAACACCGTAGGGTTAGTTTAATTATTTCAGTTTAATTTGAAAATTAATGACAACATATTTTGTGTAGCTCTGTCTTCCAAGTTCCAATTTGCACTAACATGGCAGCACTGTTGGGTATAGGGTTTAGAGAAACTGTCCTGAGTTTTGATTTGGAGGGATGTAATTAATTGTATCATTATTTACTCTCAAATTTGCAGTTACTAGCAAACAGAGGAAAGTTACATTGACCAGGTCTGTTTAAATGTTTTGCTGAATTCACCATACCTCAGGGAGTGGTCTCTGTTCCACATGCTGCCATGTTGGATTCTGGTAGACCTAAAGTGGAAGAGGTGGGCAGTGATAAATATGCAACAGCAGTTTGAATATTTAGGGTGAATAATCTCAGATCATAGACACATTATCTAAAATACTTATAAATGGATTATATTTTGTAGGGGAAATTAGCCCTAGAGAGGAGAATGAAACCAAACCCACATGTACCAAGAAATAAAGTGGAAAGTTGGCTGTAGTGATGAATCAGTTGATGCAAAACAAAATATACTTTGCACTTTTGCACCTCAGTGCATGTCTGAATGCTTTAAGGACAGGGAAGCCTACTGCCATTGTGATTTGCCAAAGGGACAAATAAGATTGTGGTACAGAATCCAGGAGTCTAATTCCTAGTCTTATGCTTTAAACATTAAACAATATTTGCTGCCTGGAACTTGCTAGCTGATTTATTACTCGTGTTCCTCTTACTCCTGATTAATTTAATGTAAAAAGTGGATTATATGTTGTAATCTATTGTTTTGCAGCTTTTAATTTGACTAATAAAAGTTTTGAAAATTAGATACATTATAAACTCTGTCTTCTAGCTACAGTCTCCTTGCTGTATTTGTATGTGACAATACACTAAGTGTAGCCCCTTGAATGGATCCTGATTCCTGTATGTAGCTTTGGGAGTCGCTCTGGTCGACAGACATAACCAGTGTTATGTATTCTGCTGTCATAATGCTAGGCTCCCGCTTGTAACGGTCACCCACTGACCACTACTCCTACAAGGCGTCTCTTTGCTACTGTCACCGCCTGTAGGGAGGTTGGATGGGGGCAGTCGATTAAACATCCCATTCATGACAGGATCCCCGATTCTCCTTCCCTCCTGGCGCGGGTGGCTGATAGCCCCACGTGTCTTGCTATAAAGCCTGCAATGGATGAAGCCCCTGGATGCGCGACTCCCATCGGATACATCATGGGAGCGAACCGAAGCCCCTCCTGTGTGGCTCCCGGGTCTCACCCGGCCCCTCCGCCGTGGGTCCCCCGCAGCTTCCTGCCGGCCGTCACTCCCTCCCGCAGCAGCCTGCGTGAAGCGGCTTCCCGGGGAAAGGCCGCCCCAGTGCGAGGCTCCTCCCGAGGGAGAGCCCCTGATGGAGCGGCCGAACCGCAGACTCCACATTCTCCCACCCCCGGACTTCCGCATCCGGGGACGCAGCCTCAGGCAGCTGAGCGGATGTGCGTCATCGCGCTGCGCTTACCAGCGTCCTAAGAGAACGGGAAACACGTCAGTTGGGAACGCCGCATTTCTTAGCAGCGGCGGCTCCGTTCTGGGGAAGGGCGACGTGAGCCCGGTCGCTTCCCCGGGCCCGCGGCTCCGTCATGAACAGCGTGGGGGAGGCCTGCACGGAGCTGAAGCGCGAGTATGACCAGTGCTTCAACCGCTGGTTCGCCGAGAAGTTCCTGAAGGGGGAGAACGCGGGGGACCCCTGCGTGCAGCTCTTCAAGCGCTACCAGCTCTGCGTGCAGGTGGGGGGGCAGCGAGCTGCCGTGGGGGCGGGGCGAGTGTGTGTGTGGTGGGGGGGGTCCTCGGGCTTCCTCTTCCATCACTGGGGAAAGGGGCCCCCTCCCCCGCACAAACCCTGCCCAGCCAAGCGCTGCATTGGGCAAGTTGGTGTCTCAGCCGGCGGCGCTCAGGCCCCGCCTGCCCTTGAGCAGGCTGCGAAGGCTTGGTTACGTTGGGCATTACTGGGGCAAAGTGACTGGTGAGTCCAATAGAGGGAAGAGGATGGCTTGCTGTGTTACCCTGGTGAAATCGTTTAGCAAAACCAGCACTCAGATAAACTATCTGTGAAATGGGGATAAACTTACACACCTCAGAAGGTTAGTGTTATGAAGATAAATTCCTTAATGTTTTGAGATCCAGGTATTACAGTAGGTCTAAGTATTGTTAAGTATCATTTTGAAGAAAATCACTTGTGATGAGAAATTTAAAATCTTATTAAAATGTTCATAATTTTCAAGGCTTCTTGGGGACAAGCATCAGTCAGATTTGACTCATTTTCTTCAAAACTTCCCTTCATTTGAGACCCACATTATCGGAGAGACTTGATGTTATAGAGACTCTATTCATAATTACCACAGTGTGTGTGTATCCTGTTTTATTACTGTCAGTACTGATAGAATATTTCACTCACTCATACAGTATTAAATTCTCAAACATTAGTGATGACCTCTCTTTCCCCTCTCTTTAATTGCTTCTTATGCAGGGGGAATTTAACTTTCGGACATAAGAATGGCCCTATGGGTTCAGACCAAAGGTTGATCTAGCCCAGTATCCTGTCTTCTGACAGTGGCTAATTCCAGATGCACCAGAGGGAATGAACAGAACAGGTATCAAGTGATCCATCCCTTGTTGCCCATTCCCAGCTTCTGGCAAACAGAGGCTAGGGACGCTATCCCTACCCATCTGGGCTAATAGCCACTGATGGACCTATCCTCCATTAAGTTATCTAGTTCTTTTTTGAACCCTTTTACAGTCTTGGCCTTCACAACACCCTCTGGCAAGGAGTTCCACAGGTTGAATGTGTGTTGTGTGAAGAAATACTTCCTTTTCTTTATTTTAAACCTGTTGCCTATTAATTTTTCATTTGGTGACCCCTAGTTCTTGTGTTACGAGAAGGAGTAAATAACACTTCCTTATTCACTTTCTCCACACTGTCATAATTTGATAGACCTCTATCATATCCCCTCTTAGTCGTCTTTTTTCCAAGCTGAAAAGTCAGTCTTATTATTGTCTTTTCTTACAGCAGCTGTTCCATACCCCTAATCATTTGTGTTGCCCTTTTCTGAACATCTTCCAATTCCTATATATACCTCTACCTCGATATAACACTGTCCTTGGGAGCCAAAAAATCTTATCACGTTATAGGTGAAACCGCGTTATATCGAACTTGCTTTGATCCACCGGAGTGCACAGCTTTTCGTACTTTCATTGACTTACAGTATATGTATTACACACACGTGTTCTGAGGTCTAAAAGAAAATGGGAGGCAGCTCACTTGAGAATCTCTGGGTAAAGAAAAAAGGTAGTGTGTGTGTGGTTAAAAAAAAAAAAAGTAGTGTGTGTGGGGGGGGACGGGACACGAACGACATGGTAGAGGTCTACTATAGACCTCCAAATCAGGAAGAGAAGGTGGATAAGACATTTATAAATGAAGCAGACATCTCCATATCCAAAATACCTAGTAGTATCCTGGGACTTGAACTATGTGGACATCTGTTGGAAAAGTAATATGACAAAATACAAAACTTCCAATTAGTTACTGGAAAGTATTGGGGACAACTTTTTTTTCCCCAGAAAGCAGAAGAAGTAAAGCAGGAAGACAGCCATTTTAGATTTGATTCTGATTTAATGGGGAGGAATTGGTAGTGAATCTGAAAATGGAATGCAATTTGGGTGAAAGTGATCATGAAATTATGGATTTCTTGATTCTAAGGCAAGGAAGGAGTGAGAGCAGCAGAATAAGGAAAAAGTATTTTAAAAAGCAGACTTTAACAAACTCAAAGAACTGATAGGTAAGATCCCATGGGAAGAAAATCTAAAGTGTGTGTGTGAGAGTGAGTGAGTGTGTGTGTGTGAGGTGAGAGATCGAGATCGATCAGGAGTCCTGGCAGTTTCTCCAGGAGACAAACTATCCCCATGTGAAGGAACGATAAGAATAGTAAGAGGCCAATATGGCTTCATCAGGAGGAGTGTAACAAAAATGATAAAATACCTAGAAAATCTGACCTATGAGGAAAGGTTAAAAAAACGGTGTGTGTGTCTTCTTGAAAGAGGGGGAAGGGTGGCCTGATAAAACTTTGATATGTTAAGGGCTCTTATAAAAAGGATGGTGATGAATTGTTCTCCATGTCCACTGAAGGTAGGGCAAGAAATAATGGACTTAATCTGCAGCAAAGGAGATCTAGAATAGATATTGGGGGGTGGGGGGGTGGAGACTTTCTGTCAGCCATTTAAACTGTGGAATAGGCTTCAAAGGGCGATTATGGAATCCACATTACTGAAGATTTTTTTTAAGAACAGTCTGACAAACTTGTTAGAGATGTTGTAGGTTTACTTGGTCCTGGTGCAGCGCAAGGCGCTGGACTTCATGACATCTCAAAGTTCCCTCCAGTCCTACATTTCTGTGATATAAAACAGTCTGTACGTTCCTTAACCTCTCCTATAAAGCTTAATTGCAGTCACCTTTACTTGTGTTTTTTCTCCATATATACACATTTTTAACGTAATAGTTCTTTCCTCCCTTTCTTCCACATCCCTCCTACATGAAGCTTTACAGACTATTATTGATGTTCAAGTTGGAAGAACAGGCCGTCGGTGCTTTTGTAACAGTCATCCTGTCAATTCCTTTCACAATGCAGTACCCCATGAAAACTTGATCTGTTGCCTTGGTGGTTCTGCTTACAGCACTGAAACGTTGTCTTCAGGTCCCTCTAGCTTCTCTTTCACTCACCGCATCAGGTGTAATTCCTCTAACATATGGATGAGAAGTGTTTGGTCAAGGGCTTGAATAAATTTATCTGATGGAGTGTTGGCTACAATTCATACTATGTTCGCAGTATCTCTTTGAGCATGTCTGATGGTATATTTTGATGGAAACCTTAATAGCAACCTTGATTGGTCTTAAATTATATCAGGCAGGGAACATGTCTTCATGTAGAACCACAAAACATTATTAAAACAAATTTGCCTTTTTTTTTTCTTTTTTCTTTTCTCCTAGAAAGCTATTAAGGAGAAAGACATACCCATTGAAGGACTGGAATTCATGGGTCCCAGTAAAGGAAAAGCTGAAAACTCCTCCTGACCTTGTTTAGGCATATTGTGCCATTACAATGACCTTTTGGACTTGGAAAAAGAACCTCACAAAGACAAGAAGATTGCCTTGGATTAGCTGTTATTTCTGCCTGGCTTTTTAAGAAGCAAGAAGTCTTTTCTGCAGTTCCTTTCAGCTAGGTTGTGTGGCAATTACTGTTTCATCTTAAATGAATGTTGTTGGTGGTCTGGCATCATGTGGTGTGTGAAAAGCCTTTTTATCAATCTATGATCATAAGTGAATGTACTCTGAACAGGGGAATATTTATTGAAATGGGTTTAGATATTAGCTGGTCTATGATCAGTTGCTTTTTTATTTATATTATAATAGACAATTTTAAATGCTGAAATTAATGTGAAAGGCGTTAATTTACTTATGGGAGTGTGCTGCTGGATTTTTATGGGGATAGAGTTGGTTTCAGTTTTCCTGAAAACTGATGCGCTACAGCTTTGGTTCTTATTGTGCAACTGTAGTGGTGTCATAGAAATACCACTGCTGGAGTTGCAATGATTTTTGTTTGAATACACAAGGTGTTGTTTTAATATAGAATATGCATCTGTTAAGTAAAGTTATGCTTGACTAAATGAGACAACTGTCCAATTAAACCTGCCTGTGCCCTTTAAGATGGAAAGGGGCGAGCCTGTCCCAGAAATGAACAGGAGCAACTGCTTTCAGAAGGTACTTTCAACAGCCTCAGGCAGTCTATGCGGATTTGAAAGGCACTGACACAACCTTGAATTTAATTCTGCTACTGAATGGCTGTTGCCCCATAAATAAAGCTTCAACAGCAATTCAATTACACTTCAGTTGTCCTTCTCCAACAGGCACCCCCTAGGTGCCCAAAAATCCTCCACAGATTAGCCTCAAAATCATGAAGTTAGATGTCAGCTTAAGTTGTCTAATTCAAATATCTAAGGGGTTCCTGCCTTATGATGCCCTAAAACAGTACCCAACTGTCAGTTGGAAGTTTGTCTTCCCGCTTTGTAATAATAAGAAATCTGAAAGGAGAGGGAGAAATGCAACTTTGATATATCCCTGCATGAAAACTAATGTCCTAAACCAAAATTTAGCTGGCTGAAGTCAAGAGTGATTTACATTTTTGATTTAGTAATATCAGGAACTGTTGAATGGTGATCATAGTGTAGCATGTAAAGGATTAGTCAAGAACTAACTTGCTTTCCAAATTTCTTTAGAGACTTTTTTGTTTAGCCTTCTCCCTTACAGCAATGCATCTTGCCCTCTAGCCTTCCTACTGAAAAAGATTTTTCCATAAGGAAGCTCCTGATGGTGCGTTTTAACTCAAGTCAACCTGAAGTCTATGAAAAACAAAGCTTCCCCTCCTGCCCCCAGCCCTTCCTT